GTGGGTTCACACCATTCTCCTGCCTCAGCCTCCCAAGTAGCTGGGACTCAGGCGCCCACCACCACACCCGGCTAATTTTTTTGTCTTTTTAAGTACAGACAGGGTTTCACTGTGTTAGCCAGGATGGTCTCGATCTCCTGACCTCGTGATCCGCCTGCCTCGGCCTCCCAGAGTGCTGGGATTACAGGTATGAGCCACCACGCCTGGCCTGTATCATTTCTTAATGACTTACCTTAGTTTCTAACAAATCCGTGGCACAGTAAGTTATATTAAGACATAGTACTTTTATGGTTTTTTTAATTATTATACTTTAGGTTCTAGGGTACACGTGCAGAACGTGCAGATTTGTTGCACAGGTGCATGTGCCATGATGTTTTGCTGCACCCATCAGCCTGTCACCTGTATTGGGTGTTTCTCCTGATGCTATCCCTCCCCTGGCCCCCCACCCACAACAGGCCCTGGTGTGTAATATTCCCCTTCCTGTGTCCATGTGTTCTTATTGTTCAGTTCCCACTTGTGTGTGAGAACATGCAGTGTTTGGTTTTCTACTCTTGTGTTGGTTTGTTGAGAATGATGGTTTCCAGTTTCATCCATGTCCCTGCAAAGGACATGAACTCATTCTTTTCTGTGGCCAAATAGTATTCCATGGTATATATGTGCCACATTTTTTTAACCCAGTTTATCATTAATGGAGATTTAGGTTGGTTCCAAGTCTTTGCTATTGTGAATAGTGCTGCAATAAACATACATGTGCATGTGTCTTTAAAAAAAAAAAAAAAAGTACAATAAATATCCCTATAGTCTCTTTTCCATAAACCAAAATTTCTCAAGGTTGGCATCATTGGCACATGAAGCTGGATAATCTTTGTTGTAGGAGCTGCCCTGTGCACTGTAGGATGTTTGGTAATATCCCTGGGCTCTATACCCACTAGAGAGAAATTGCCTCCTGCTGGGCACGGTGGCTCACACCCGTAGTCCCAGCACTTTGGGAGGCAGAGACAGGGGGATCATGAGGTCAGGAGTTCAAGACCAGCGTGGTTAACACAGTGAAACCCCGTCTCTACTAAAAATACAAAATATGGGGCCAGGCGTGGTGGCTCATACCTGTAATCCCAGCAGTTTGGGAAGCTGAGGCAGGCAGATCATGAGGTCAGGAGTTTGAGACCATCCTGGCTAACACAGTGAAATTCCGTCTCTACTAAAAATACAAAAAAATTAGCCAGGCTTGGTGGCGGGCACCTGTAGTCCCAGCTACTCGGGAGGCTGAGGCAGGAGAATGGCATGAACCTGGGAGGCAGAGCTTGCAGTGAGCTGAGATCACGCTACTGCACTCCAGCCTGGGGGACAAAGCGAGACTCCATCTCAAAAAAAAAAAAAAAAAAAAAATACAAATATGGCCGGAAGCGGTGGCTCATGCCTATAATTCCAGCACTTTGGGAGGCCGAGGCGGGTGGATCACCTGAAGTCAGGAGTTTGAGACAAGCCTGACCAACATGGAGAAACCCTGTCTCTACTAAAAATACAAAATTAGCCAGGTATGGTGGCGTGTGCCTGTAATCCCAGCTACTCAGAAGGATGAAGCAGGAGAATCATTTGAACCCAGGAGGTGGAGGTCACAGTGAGTGAAGATAGCACCAGTGCACTCCAACCTGGGCAACAAGAGTGAAACTCTGTCTCAAAAAATAAGTAAATAAATAGGCTGGGTATGGTGGCTCACACCTGTAATCCCAGCACTTTGGGAGGCCGATGCAGGTGGATCACCTGAGGTCAGGAGGTCGAGACTAGCCTGGCCAATGTGGTGAAACCCTGTCTCTACAAAAATACAAAAAATTAGCAGGGCATGGTAGCAGGCAACTCTAACCCCAGCTACTTGGGAGGCTGAGGTAGGAGAAATGCTTGAACCTGGGAGGCAGAGGTTGCAGTGAGAGGGGATTGTGCCATTGCACTCCAGCCTGGGCAACAAGAGTGAAACGCTGTCTCAAAAAAAAAATAAATACAAATACAAAAAGTTAGCTGGGCGTGGTGGCAGGCGCCTGTAATCCCAGCTACTCAAGAGGCTGAGGCAGAAGAACTGCTTGAACCGGGGAGGCAGAGGTTGCAGTAAGCCGAGATTGTACCATTACACTCCAGCCAGGTGACAGTGCGAGGCTCTGTCTCCAAAAAAAAAAGAGAAGTAGCCTCCTCACCTGCACTGGTTGTAACACCCAAAAATCTCTCCAAACTTCGGTTGAGAACCCCCGGCCTAGATTGTGGCTTCTTAACATTTTATCTATTTGTATTTTTTTTTTTAATTTCTGAACCATATGACAGTAAATGGCTGACATCATGACACTTCACCCATAAATACTTCAGCAGACACTCCTGAGACTGATATGTTCTCCCACAAGACCACACTACCATTTTGTTTCTTTTTTTTTTGAGACCAAGTCTCACTCTATTGCCCAGGCACAATCTAGGCTCACTACAACCTCTATCTCCTGGGGTCAAGCGATTCTCCTGCCTTAGCCTCCTGAGTACCTGGGATTAAAGGTGCGTGCTACCGCTCCTGGCTAATTTTTGTATTTTTAGTAGAGACGGGGTTTTGCCATGTTGGCCAGGCTGTTCTCAAACTCTTGACCTCAGATGATCCACCCATCTCAGCATCCCAAAGTGCTGGGATTACAGGCGTGAGCCAACGCACCTGGCCCGCAGTACCATGTTCACACCCAAGAAAATGTGGCTATCAAACTGTTTTGGGTGTTTGTTTGTTTGGAGGTGGAGTCTCACTCTGTCACCCAGACTGGAGTGCAGTGGTACAATCTCAGGTCACTGCAACCTCCACCTCCCAAATTCAAGAGATTCTCCCGCCTCAACCTCCAAATAGTTGGGATTACAGGCACACACCACCAAACCTGGCTAATTTTTGTATTTTTAGTAGAGATGGGGTTTCACCATATTGCCCAGGCTGGTGTCAAACTCCTGATCTCAAGTGATCCACCTGCCTCAGCCTCCCAAAGTGTTGTGATTATAGGCATAAGCCACGATGTCTGGCCTATCAAACTGTTACTGTGGTATTACTTTGCTAGGGCTACGGTAACAAAGTACCACAAACTGGGTGGCTCAAACAGAAATTGATGTTCTCACAATTCTGGAGGCTGGATATTCAAGATCAGGATGTCAGCAGGGCTGGTTCCTTCTGAGGCTGTGAGGGACAATCTGGTGCTTTGCTGGCCACCTTTGGTGTTCTTTGGTTATGAAAGCATCATCCTGATCTCTGCCTTTGTCTCCATCTTCTGTACTCCCTGTGTGCATTTGTGTCCGAATTTTCCCTTAGCATAACACCACCAGTCACAGGCCAGGCACAATGGCTCACACCTGAAATCCCAGCACTTTGGGAGGCTTGGCAGGCGGACTACCTGAGGTCAGGAGGTCGAGACCAACCTGGCCAACATGGTGAAATCCCATCTCTACTAAAAATGCAAAAATTAGCTGGCATGGTGGCATGCCCCTGTAATCCCAGCTATTCTGGAGGCTGTGGTGGGAGAATTGCTTGAACCCAGGAGGCGGAGGCTGCAGTGAGCTGAGATCGTGCCACTGCACTCCAGCCTGGGCTACAGAGCGAGACTCCATCTCAAAAAACAAAAAAGAAAAAAAGAGCCGGGCGCGGTGGCTCACGCCTGTAATCCCAGCACTTTGGGAGGCTGAGGCGGGCGGATCACGAGGTCAGGAGATCGAGACCATCCTGGCTAACACAGTGAAACCCCATCTCTACTAAAAATACAAAAAATTAGCCAGGCGTGGTGGTGCGCGCCTGTAGTCCCAGCTACTCGGGAGGCTGAGGCAGGAGAATGGCGTGAACCCGGGAGGCGGAGCTTGCAGTGAGCTGAGATCGCGCCACTGCCCGCCAGGGGGAAAAAAAGAGACTCCAACCCCAAAAAAAAAAAAAAAAAAAAAAAGAACACCAGTCATGTTGGATTAGGGCCCAACCTAATGACCTCATCTTCACCAATTATATCTGCAATGACCCTAGTTCTAAATAAGGCCACATTCTGATGTATTAGAGGTTAGGATTTCAAAATATGAATCTGGGGAGGAAAGAATATGGTTTCTGGATCTTGCTCTGTTGCCCAGGCTGGAGTGCAATGGCATGATCTTGACTCACTACAGCCTTTGCCTCCCAGGTTCAAGTGATTCTCCTGCCTTAGCCTCCCGAGTAGCTGGGATTACAGGAGCGTGCCACCATACCCAGCTCATTTTCATATTTTTAGTAGAGACGGGATATCGTCATGTTGGCCAGGATGGTCTCAAACTCCTGACCTCAAGTGATCTGCCCACCTCAGCCTCGCAAAGTGCTGGGATTACAGGCATGAGCCACCAGAGGGTGGCCAGAAGGAAACAATTTAACACCTAACAATCTCCTGCAGGGCTTTTCAGACCTCATCTTACTAAAAGGCAGACTGACTCAGCAGGTCTGGGTGGGGTGGGACCTATTAATTTGCGTACCTAACAACAGCAGCCCACCCTTTGAATTGCAAGGACCAAATAGACACTCAGTCCATATTCAAACTTTCTCCCTCGACTCAAAGCTGTCCTTGAAAGCTTTTGATTCATGATCAATGAGGGATCACACATTGCATTTATGGTCATGAGTCTTCAGTAAACCCAAGAGCTTTCAGTCCCAAAGTGCTTTGTACATTTCAAACTGCTACCCTCTAAACCTCAGAGAGGATTTAATCCTAAAGTGCTCTATAATCCCAACAGGCATTATAATCCCTGAAGTGCTCTATTACCTCCCTTTTGAAAGCCCTCAAACAAATTTTCCAATCCCAAAGCATTCTACAAACCTCAGAGTATTTGTAATCCTTAAGTGTAAACCCAAGTGCTTTGTGAACCTCAAACAGGGCTTTTGAACCCACAAAGCATCCTGTCATCTGCAAAGTGGGCTGAATAGGTTAGTGGGGACTGACCATCCTGGGGTGCTATTTGGAGTATGAGAGGGTCTCCTTGTTCTTCCTCCCCAGGTACCCAGGATGGAGGAGAAGGAGGCCCTGGTACCCATCCAGAAGGCCATGGACAGCTTCCATGCAGAACTCCATCCCCGGGTGGCCTTCTGGATCATTAAGCTGCCACGGCGGAGGTCCCACCAGGATGCCCTGGAGGGCGGCCACTGGCTCAGCGAGAAGCGACACCGCCTGCAGGCCATCCGGGATGGTCTCCGCAAGGGGACCCACGAGGATGTCCTAGAAGAGGGGACCGAGAGCTCCTCCCACTCCAGGCTGTCCCCCCGAAAGACCCACTTACTGTACATCCTCAGGCCCTCCCGGCAGGTGTAGGGGTGGGGACTGGGGAGCACCTGCCTGTACCCCCATCAGACCCCGCCCCAAGCACCATATGGAAATAAATTTCTTTCTTACATCTAACAACACCATCTCCTTTCGGCATTTATCCCCAAGCCCCTGCCAACTAGACCATGGCAAGGGCCCCCAGTCCCAGCTCTGAGCATGACAGCTGGCTGTGCTAGCTCTTGCCTAAGTCTACCAGGCTTGATTTTCTCATTCAGGCATTGTCTATGCTCTAGCTCCATCTGTCCACTCAGCACCCAACCCTGTCACCTCCAGCCCTGTACGCACTCCCAACTCTTGGCTTTTTTTTTTTTTTTTTTTTTTTGGAAACAGGGTCTCACTGTTACCCAGGCTGGAGTGCAGTGGCGCAATCACAGCTCACTACAGCCTCGACCTCCCAGGCTCAGGCGATCCTCCCACCTCAGCCTCTCTCAGTAGCTGGGACCACAGGAATGCGCTACCATGCCCAGCTAATTGTTGTATTATTTAACATAGGGATCTCCCTATGTTGCTCAGGCTCGTCTTGAACTCCTGGGCTCAAGTGATCCCTTCACCTCGGCCTCTCAAAGTGCTGGGATTACAGGCTTGAGCCACTGTGCCTGGCCCCCAACTCTTTCACTCCAGTCCTGTCTGTTTACGTGGCCCCTGTACTGTTACTGCCATAACAAATGGGCACAAACTTGGAAACTTAAAACAACACAAATGCATTATTTCACGTATCATCCTGGTCAGAAATCCGGGATGGCTCCACCGGCCCTCACCTCTGGGTTTCACAGGGTGTCAGCCACCCGAGCTCTCACTGGGAGGCTCTGGGAAGAAGCTGCTTTCAAGCTCATTCAGATTTTCAGCAGAATCGAATTCTGGGTTTGTGGGACTGAGGTCCCCATGTTCTCACTGGCTGTCAGCTGGGGGCCACCAACCCTTAGCTCCAAGAGGCCTCTCTCCGGTTACTGCAGGTGCACCTGACATCCCAGAGCCACAGCCCAGTGTCATGGCGGGACTCTGACTTCCCCTTGTGTCCCATCTCTGGTATACCTTCCTCTTCTGGCAGAGACAGTCCTCTGCTTTGAAGGGCTCATGTGATTGGACTGGACCTTCCTGGACAACATACTTACAGGTTCCAGGAATTAGAGGGTGACCATCTTTGGGGGACCACTATCCAGCCCCACTCAGGTCCTTCCCATGTCATCTCCAGCCTCGACTCTGTTGTGTCCACACCCGCCTATCCTAGTCTTCATCTTCTCATTCCGTCTCACCCCGATGGAAGGACTCTATCTCCAACTTGCTATTTCTCTCTTTGTCCCTCTCTCTGACCCTCCCTGCTCACCACCCCAAACTCCCTCACTTCCAGGCCTGATGCCTCGTCCAAACTTGGAAGCTCACAGAGCTTGCCTTTGGTGGTCTGTCCACTTTGCCCTTCCCCAGAGCATTTCCTGTCCCCTCTGAGAATCCTCCGTCATGACCCATCAAGGAGAAGGCTGATCTGATCCTCCCCAGTGCTGAGTCCCACCTAGGACCCGGACATGGCATGTACTCTCTCCCTGGAGGCCCAAGCTGAGCGCTGGATCACCCCATAGACTCACACACTCAGGAACCCAACAGTGAGTACAATGAATGCAAGTCAACTTTTTTTTTTCTTTTGAGATGGAGTCTCGCTCTGTCGCCCAGGCTGGAGTGCAGTGGCGGGATCTCAGCTCACTGCAAGCTCCGCCTCCTGGGTTTACGCCATTCTCCTCTCTCAGCCTCCTGAGTAGCTGGGACTACAGGCGCCCACCACCTCGCCAGGCTAGTTTTTTGTATTTTTTTTTAGTAGAGACGGGGTTTCACCGTGTTAGCCAGGATGGTCTCGATCTCCTGACCTCGTGATCCGCCCGTCTCGGCCTCCCAAAGTGCTGGGATTACAGGCTTGAGCCACCGTGCCCAGCCGTTTTTTTTTTTGAAACAGAGTCTTGCTCTGTTGCCCAGGCTGGAGTGCAGTGACATGATCTCAACTCACTATGATCACCGCCGCCACCCAAGTTCAAGTGATTCTCATCCTCAGCCTCCCAAGTAGCTCAGACTACAGGTGCTCACCACCACAACCAGCTAATTTTTGTATTTTTAGTAGAGATGGGGTTTTACCATGTTGGCCAGGCTAGTCTCAAACTCCCAACCTCAGGTGATCTGCCTGCCTCATTCTCTCAAAGTGCTGGGATTATAGGCATAAGCTACCACGCCCGGCCAAGTTTGGCTGCTTCTAAGGCCTCTCTCCTTGGGTTGAGGATGGCTGCTTTCTCACTGTATCCTCACATTGTGTTTTTTTGTTTTGTTTTGTTTTGTTTTTGAGACAGAGTCTTGCTCTGTCACCCAGGCTGGACGAAGTGCAGTGGCGTGATCTCCGCCTTTCAGGTTCAAGAGATTCTTCTGTCTCAGCCTCCCAAGTAGCTGGGACTACAGGCACACACTATCATGCCCGGCTAATTTTTGTATTTTTTAGTAGAGACAGGGTTTCACCATATTGGCCAGGCTGTTCTCAAACTCCTAACCTCATGATCCACCCACCTTGGCCTCCCAAAGTGCTGGGATGACAGGCGTGAGCCACTGCACCCGGCCCACATTGGCTTTTATTTCCAATTCTAGAATAGGGCAATACCTCATTCTGTAAAGTAGAATGAGTGTTCCCATGAGCCGAGCAGAAAAGGGTGGTTTACAAACTCGGCTCACTGCAATCTATACCTCCCGGGTTCAAGTGATTCTCCTGCCTCAGCCTCCTGAGTAGCTGGGATTAAAGGCTCCTGCTGCCACACCCAGCTAATTTTTGTATTTTTAGTAGAGACAGGGTTTCACCATGTTGGCCAGGCTGGTCTCGAACTTCTGACCTCAAGTGATCCACCCACCTCAGCCTCCCAAAGTGCTGGGATTACAGGTGTGAACTACTGTGCCCGGCCAGGGATACGTTTCTTTTTCATTTTTTTTTAAAATTTTTTATTACAGAACAATTATCTGTCATCAAACTATCCTTTCAGATTCATTTTGAATACCTCCTTTCTTTTTTTTTTTTTTTTCCTTTGAGATGGAGTCTCGCTCTGTCGCCCAGGCTGGAGTGCAGTGGCACGATTTCAGCTCACTGCAACCTCTGCCTCCCGGGTTCAAGTGATTCTCCCGCCTCAGCCTCCTGAGTACCTGGGACTATAGGCACCCACCACCATGCCCGGCTAATTTTTTGTATTTATAGTAGAGACAGAGTTTCACCATGTTAGCCAGGATGGTCTCCATCTCCTGACCTCGTGATCCGCCCGCCTCAGCCTCCCAAAGTGCTGGGATTACAGGTGTGAAACACCGTGCCCGGCCCCAGTTGATTATTTCAAAGTTATTTTACTTGTGGCCAGGTGTGGAGGCTCATGCCTGTACCCCAGCACTTTAGAAGGCTAAGGCGGGTGGATCATCTGAGGTCAGGTGTTCCAGACCAGCCTGGCCAACACAGTGAAACCACGTCTCTACTAAAAATACAAAAAATTAGCCGGGCAAGGCGGTGGGTGCCTGTAATCCCAGCTACCCGAGAGGCTGAGGCAGAAGAATTGCTTGAACCCAGGAGGCAGAGGTTGCAGTGAGCCGAGATCATGCCGTTACACTCCAGCCTGGGCAACAGTCCGTCTCAAAAAACAAACAAACAAACAAAGTTACTTTACTTGTAAAGGTTAAAACAGAGGGGACTTCCTTATCATGCTAGCTAGAAGATGTGGCTATTATTTCTCTCTCTCCTGTCTCCTCTAAATTCTCAGAGGTCAGATAATTTAGTTTCAGCTTGCTGACATGGAACTGTAGCATGAGTGACTCTGCTGGTCTCTTGGGCCTAGTGCAGGAGCTCAGTCCAAACCAATGGCTTCCTATAAAGTTTATTTAGCAAGGCAAATCTACAGAGACAGAAAGCAGATTCACAGTTATGTGGGGCTTCAGGGAAAGGAAGGTTGAGTTAAGGATAATGGCTAAGGCCGGGCGCGGTGGCTCAAGCCTGTAATCCCAGCACTTTGGGAGGCCGAGACAGGCGGATCACGAGGTCAGGAGATCGAGACCATCCTGGCTAACACGGTGAAACCCCGTCTCTACTGAAAAATACAAAAAAACTAGCCGGGCGAGGTGGCGGGCGCCTGTAGTCCCAGCTACTTGGGAGGCTGAGGCAGGAGAATGGCGTGAACCCGGGAGGCGGAGCTTGCAGTGCGCCGGGATCGCGCCACTGCACTCCAGCCTGGGCGACAGAGCGAGACTCCGTCTCAAAAAAAAAAAAAAAAAAAGGATAATGGCTAAGAGATGTGGGGCTTTGTTTCGGAGTGGTGAAAATGTTCTACAATTAATTGTGATGATTGTAGAACTCTGTGAGTGTACTGAAAACCACTTAATTATACACTTTAAATGGGTAAACTATGTGGTGTGTGAATGATGACTCAATAAAGCTGTTAAAGCAATTAGTTAATTAACAATTCTATTAAACAGTTTACCCTGAACAACTCAGGGTTTAGGGGACTTACCCCCTGCGAAGGAAAAAATCTGAAGATCAATATTGACTCCCCAAAACCTTAATGACTAATAGCATGCTATTGACCAGAAGCTTTACATAAACACTAGATGAACACATAGATCCCCCCTCCTCAGCCTCCCAGGTAGCCAGGACCACAGGTAGAGCTCTCACAACCACACCTGGCTAATTTTTGTGTTTTTAGTAGAGAGGAGGGTTTTACCATGTTGCCCAGGGGTGTCTCCAATTCCTAGGCTCAAGCGATCAGCCCACCTTGGCCTCCCAAAGTTCTGGGATTACAAGCGTGAGCCACCATGCCTCACTGTGTTATATGTATTATATACTATATGCAAACAACAAAGTGAGCTACAGAAAAGAAAATGTTACTAAGGAAATCAGAGAAGTTAGGAGAGGGTTAAAAAAATCAATAAAATCGCCAGGCACGGTGGCTCACGCCTGTAACCCCAGCACTTCTGGAGGCCGAGGTGGGAGGACCACCTGAGGTCAGGACTTTGAGACCAGCCTGACCAACATGGTGAAACCCCATCTCTACTAAAAATACAAAAGTTAGATTGGCATGGTGGCG